CTTTGTAGGTGGATTTTGGCACAGCACCTTGATCGATAAAAATCTCATTGACTACTTTGTTCCCTTCCTGCCTCTGGAATACAAACATGTGAAAATGTGTGTCAGGGTTGAGATTGAATCACGTGGCTATGCTGTGGATGAAGACATTTTAACCAGAATAGCTGACGAAATGACCTACTTCCCCAGAGAGGAGAGAATTTATTCAGATAAAGGATGTAAAACTGTGGATGCAAAACTGGATTATTACTATGACTTCTAATGCTTTATTGCTACAACCTGCAAAGAAGCAAATTTAACTTAATTACAAAGTGGAGAACCTGGGACATTTCATTTTTAAGCACTTTTTAAAGAAAGGAACATTATTTTTACCTGGTGTGTAAATAAGCGGCAGTGCCTCTGCATTTTTTTTATTCTGTCACTAGTCACGGCTTCCAAGTAATTCAGCCCTGTGTTGTCAAGGTAAGAACGAACTGCACTGTGAATGCGGGGGTCTGTGTCTGACAGTGCCGAAGATTCCTCTTGGATCGTGTGTTGATCATCAGAACTGCTTGGCAGACTGTTGGCATGTATAGAATAACTGAGACTATGACCTAATTTTAATTGGATTTTTGTTTGATGTGAATGATCTCTAGACAATATTGAGAATTTTAATCAAAGTTCCTATGTCTGTGAAAGCCTTCATTGGGCTTGTGTGGGAATATTCCTACAGCTGCACTAAAAGTAGGATATGTGTCTTTTTTCCTTTAACGGCTTGGTTCCAGTAAAGATAAGGAGGGTATTCTGTAATTAAAAAAAAAAAACCTGTAGTCTTCTATCCAGCATTGTGCAGTACCATTGTCTTTCTCAAACCAGTGGTATGAATTGGCCTCCTGCGTGTCAAACCAAGAATATGAAACTCTTTGATATGAATCTTGTTCAAAGGATAGCCTTAATATTACAAGGAAATGAGTTTAAATCCTTGATTACTACTTCAGTGTTGTTGGTTCCTATTTTTGGCTATTTTTGATGTATAAAGTTGCCCACGGGGTGCTCTCCCAGGAGTGATTTTCTCAGGAAGGAGAAAAGTGTGCTTTCTGACCACTGGGTCAGCTTCATGGAAATAGCGTAACTTAATGGGAAACACATACAGGTTAAATTTTACACCAAGGAAACAGAAAAGAGGTTTTTCCTCTTCACCTACATGTAGAATTTGGGGGCCAGCTTGCAGGGTTTTCCCTTTTTCCTGTTCTCACAATACTGTATGCCTTTGAGGCAGGGATGAAGACAGAGCCAAGGGCATTTGAAAAAATGTGAAATGTGTCAATTGAAGCTATTGCAGAGAGCATCAGGCTTGTTTCTGAATGTGAGCACTGCAGAGGCTTTTTTTTGCTCCAGTTTCTATTCAAAATAAACTCTTCTCATCAGAAATGTATTTCTTAGCTACTTTCTGGTGTTCTTTGCATGGACTGATTTGATGTTAATTTTGCACAAACTTACTACTACTTGTTGAGGAAGAGCATACTACGCTTCTGGCTAAAGTGTTCAGCTGTGCTTGAATACAGGTATCTCCCTTCTTGAGTTCAAAAGGAATAGATACGGGGAGGAGATGGGACTCTGCTACCTGGTGAAAGGGAAATGAAGTTTGGAGTGGAAACTGCTTTTCGAGACCATCACCACTAATTACACTCTCACAGCTTTTGTAGAGGCGGACTTTCTAGATGTATATGTGCTGAACAGTGTCATAAAGATGAACTTGTCTTCTACAGACTAATTAAAACCCTGCTTCTCGTCTCTCCTCCCACTGTGGCACCAATGACTGAACACCCTGCAGGCTCTGATTGAAGCTACCCATGTTTTCAGTGGTGGTGTCTTGACGTTTTCTCTGCAAGGGGAGAAAAAAGGGTCAATAAGACTTCAGCTGTCCAGTTCTGCTCTGAAGTTGTGTAATATGCAAATTATCAGTCCTTGTATTTGTCAGCAAATGAGTGCTTTGAACTTGGGTATTTAATCTGTTTCTCTGACCTCCTGATTATAGCAAATGACTGGCTAATGGAAAAAACCAGACGTGAAAACGATAAACTTTTCATGAGCAGGTACCAGACAGTAGTAAAAGAAGCATGAGCAAGCATTGTGTCTTTTCCAGCATTAACTATACTCTTAGTTCTGCTTCATGTGCCATCGCAGCATAGATATTAGCATTTGACATTATGTTGGTTGCAAGTATTTAATTATATCATAGCCCTAGGTGGCTTAGGGCAGATGGAAGCTTCCTCTAGAGGGTGTAAAAAATTATGTTCAAAGGGTGGAGAGTGCCTCTGTTTCATCTCTCTTCTGTCCTTGAAAACAGCAGACCTGGCTAGGAGCATCTCCTGCCTCTGGGTAAAAGAAAAGTGTGTGCCTGAAATCACTCCCAGCTTTGATCCTGTCATTATTCCTCCCCTTTAGACTGTGTGGTTTCAAAGCTGAGGTCCTCACTTTGTCTTGCTGTGACTGGGTAACTTTGGCCACTATTGGTTTTAATAGGCCACTTGAAACTGGATCAATTTAAAGGAAAATGTCCAATGGGAAAAGGTCTGATCCCTAGAGAAACAAGTCCATTGGCCAGGTGAGAGCAGCTGAGCAGTCACTGAGACTGAATTTTGTTTGTTCTTACCAAAGTCCAGTACAAGCAACTGCTACTTTAATTCCACCTTCTGCAGGGACTGTTCCAAGCTCTCATGCTGTACTCATAAAATTAGAAGCTATGGTTAAAATACAGTGATGTCTTAAGTGTTGCTTTTGATAGAAAGAGGCAGCCTGGCCCTAGAGATCCATCTGCCTGACGCCCTGGGCCAAACAGCCAAGCAGTCGTGTGTGCAGAGTTGTGCAGGCATGGGGCAAAGTCCTGATGAACGCGACAGCTTACGCTTCCTATATATGCTCCTTAATGAGTTTCCTTGTGCATTGTTACAGCACAACACATAGTTCACAACAGTGTGAACAACTGACTGTTCCTTGAGGTGCAAGTTGTCGCTAACAGCTGTACCTCACTTGAATTAGGCTGTTACTTACACACTGGGTTTTTTTCAGTGCTAGAGAAGCTGCAGATGCTCTGGCCCATGGAGATACGATGAAAGCCTTTGCCAGCTAGAGAGGTGAAAAGCCGCCTTCAACAACAGCTTTCCAGACACAGCACAGAGAAGAGGAATAGTTACACAAGCTACCTGAGGCTTATTTTTCCTGCGGTGCCTGGCAGTATGGTAGGAGATACCTGTTAATAACTATGAAGCAGAGCAGGCACAGATTTGAAGGCTTTTTTATAGGTGTTTGTTTCTACCAAGCTGTATTTAACTGCTGAATGCCTTGCTGTACTGTTGGATGACTCAACGTGCTTTAATATCAACAGGCAATATATTTAATCTGCACATCTATTGTTATAAACAAATTTTTAAGAATAGAGGAAGTTTAACAGAAAGCTGCAGTGCAGCTTGTTGAAAACTGCATAAACCAGTATTTTCCTACTGCTGAAAATGATTAAACCAAGAGAGAAAAGTGACTTAAGATTTATTCCAACTGCAGCACAGTAGTAATATGTAGTGTTTTGAAACTGCACAAGTATTTTGTATTCAGAGTAACTGAAACTGGATGCAGCATTTACACCTAGGAGTAAGTCAGGTAATAGGCAAAACATTACACATGAAAAGCAACAGTCCAATGTCCCAAGGTTAACAGCTAGCTAGCATTTGGCTCTGGAGATTGCATCAGCATGAACACTTGGCCAACATTTGACAAATTCCATGAGGTTGTAAAAGGCAATTGACGCTTTTAGTTTAGAGCTTAACATAGATGCTAAGCTCTCTGTTTGAATTTGAATTAACATAATAGTGTTGAGATCTCTAAGTTTTGCATCACGTATTAAAGCAAGTTTAAGTACAAGTGAGGGAGTAGATGCTGCAGCACAAAAATAGCCCAATCCCTCGTATGAGTTTAAAACACACGCTACAGTGAACCAAGTGATAGGCACTTCTGTCTTGCACTACAGTATTTAAGCCACAAGTGATGGATGACGAAAGAGTTAAAGCTTGCAACAGTGTTGTAAACCCCAGCCTTACCACGTGGGTGAAGGTTAAATCATCTTTCCCAGTTTCCTATTCCATCACTCATCCTTCCACGCGTTCTTTAAAAAAGCTACTATAAAACATACTTATCTAGTGAGGTATGGGATTGTTGATTGCTCTCATTTCCCATACTCCCTTCTCTGCAGGTCTCTAGGAAGAGCTTTGTATTGCTCTTGCTTACACTTCAGTATAAAAATACACTATTAAAAATAACTTCTGCCACGAAAGTGTCTTGGAAGCAAGGTGAAAGCAGCATTACACAGGCCTAGGCTATTGGGTACAGCTGGGAGTGACTACTAAATATCTTGCAGACTTCAAGCCCAGGAGCCCACATGCAGATTAATGTGACAAGCTGTAAGTCAAATCGTCATGTGAGATTTTTCTCACTGAAAAGACTGGCCTACTATGTTTTAACAGATCCCTTGGATGGGTCCCTCTGCTTAGGAAGACAAACACCCTGGAGTTACCACACAAATTCACTTAGCCCCCTTAGTTAGAAGAATATAAAGCTTTTTTTTACAATTTTTCTCCAAAGCAGCAAGCAGTTACTTCCCACACAGACACACCCTTTCTCTAATATTTAGTAAGAAAGAGATTTCCCTGAGCTCATCATGACTTTCCATATTACTGTAGCAGGAGCTGTGCTACGATGCCACAGCTCAGACATAAACTATAATCATGCCCTTCTGTCCCCGAATACTTGACGCTTGTCTGTAGAAGCCACAACAGCATCAATCTGCTGCAAAGGACAGGAAGCCTTCCACCAGACCATCTTCTTACTGCAAAGCATCAAGGTATTCACCCTCGCAGACACCATTGTAGTCCTGCACACGCCACATATCCCTTCATTTCACTAGCCCATGAATGAGACCACGTACAAGGAAGAGAATATGACTGCTTGAAAGATTTCTTCTGTTCTCCTTTGCTCTAGTCTAGTTTTTTTGTGGAAAGAGGAATAAAATACTCAATAATCCCAGCACTTGGAAGAATAAAGCAGAAGAGGCTGTATCCAGTGCTATATATATATGTCACACTCAAATTCTGTATAGGTTAAAAGAAAAATATGGATACCAGCCAGTTCAGAGATGAACAGCGGTATGTTAAGTTAAAAAAAAAAAAAAGTTTAAAAGCCCACACAGGTCACTCTAGTATTTTCACCATACTCCCTGCAACAGTAAAAAAAGCTTAAGTGCAAATACACAGATTTCCAAAAGCCCTAGAAGTGCTTTGGAGACCTGAAGGGTAATCAACCCTTGACTTTTGTATCTCTCATTGCAATGTCTTCGTGAATATCCAGCTTGGCCTGTACAGTCTTGCAGCCTTTATCAGAGTAGATTTTCTGCTCTTTTGGGAAGAATGTCATCTCATCAGCCACTGCTTGAACAACGTTCTCATCGACAGCATAGCCACGGGCTGTCATTTCAGCCCTGACGCACATCTTCA